TCATTGGCATTCCTCTGAGCCATTTCTTTAATCAACTCTGTTTGTACCCTGGTGTCTTGCACCTGTTTTTCAACTTGGCCTCTCAAACGATCCACAAACTGTAAAAAACTCTCAGAAGGAAACTGTTTAATGTTAATATAGCTGCATTTAACCTCAGTTCCTGGTAATTGATACAAAGTCTTTTCTGCAGCATTACATATTTTTTCCAAAACTGACCTAGATAACAGTCTGGTTTGTTTTTCTGGGCATTGTATGTCTCCTGTACCACATAAATGATGTAAAGTAATAGGATGACCATCACTTTCAAGGGCTTCACTGGATGTATATTGTATTTCTTGCAAAATTGTTTCCAAAGCCAATTTCCACTTATTTTCCCATATCTCATATTCAGAGGGTGTTAGTAAACATTTAAACAAGTCAGTTATATCTTTAGGTACCATTTCATTTGAATTGAACGTTGCTCCTATAACCCCTTTAAAAATCTCACTGGACCTCCCAAATTCTCTCTGAACTTTACAGATTTCTGTTTTGTCTCTATATCTTAGTGGTTGATATGTTCTGGTACCATTTCTTCTCCCTAAATAAGCAACTGGTGCTACAGATGGTATGGGGTCCTCTCTAATGCCGGTAGAGGCAGGGTTGTGTCCCCCCACCACCCCCTGGGTCTCGGTGAGAGGCAGCTCGCACCCCTCTCCCCGGGCTATCTGCCCCACGGTGCAAACTCGGGCCCTGCCCCTGCTGTGAGCTGCTGGGCTGCTGTCCCCCGCCCCCGCTCCGTCCTCATCGCTGGGGTTCGGAGGAGTGCAGGGGCCGGCCCCACCCCTGTTCCCGGGGCAACTCGGGGGCTGGCACTGATAAGGAGGGTGGGGTGGTGCTGTGGGAGATAGGGAGGCATTTAGGGAGGGGGTGGGAGAGGGGTTGGAGGGCAGGGGAAGCAAAGAAATGGGAGGGGGAGGAGGAGGGAGAGCGGGCGGTGGGGGAGCCGGTAGGAGCACATGTTCGCCGCCATGATCCCGCCGCGTCTCAGGACTCTATTTCTCGGAAAGACCAGGTGTTAGAGGGAAATAAGGGGTGGGTGGGGGGGTTTCAGGGCTGGGTTTTTGAGGAGGTGGGCAGGAGGGTGAAAAGGGAGTATTCAAACTGTCATTCTGCATTCATATGCTTTTTTCTGCTTCTAAAATCATTTTTCGTGCTTGTAAAAATATCAGAATAAATCGAGAAGCTTTATGTTCACCATTTTCGACTTTTAAATTTAATATCTTTCCAATTTGGTCCTAAAAGGAAAGCGAATTCAGTTCTTGCACAGTGAAATTTGGTATTTCTGCTGTCAGCCAGCATACAGAACTCAGGAGAAGCTTGTTAGAGAACGATACATTGTTTAAGATATTGCTAAGGTGTGTTAGTGTGCTCTTTTGTTCCAGTGACAGTTTTGTACCCATTATTTTAATCGTATCGCTGGTCTAATGTCCACCAGAGTTAGTAACACAGTACGAATGATTCAAATTTTCCTCCGTGGAAATCAGAGCGCCGGGGGGGGCGGGCGGGGGTGGGCAGGGGCGCTTGTCCTGCATCCTGCCGCTTGCCGGAGTGGCTCCAACCCTCTCTCCCGTCACTTCTCCCCCCAGGAACGTGGCCACTCTCAGCTCACCGGTTCCACACTGTCTAACAGAGGGTCCCTGGCACCCCGTCTCGCAAGCAGCTCCCCTCAGTCACTTATTGTAACTCCTCCCAGCCAGGCGCGGTCCCAGGTTATGCGAATGGAGAACTCACGAAGCTTGCGAACAGTGGGGTTCGTCTGTGAACTCCTCTGGGGGTCCCTCTCCAGTCGGCTCGCCTGGGGTACTGAGGCAAGGTCCCCGACTTCTCCCTGTCACTCAAAGCCTTCAAAGGCAGCTAGAGTACAAGGGCAGTTGACTGTCCCAAAAGCTATTGAAATCCACTGAGATAGGGGGTCCAGCTTCACCATGGGCTCAGAGGCAGCGCACGTTGGGGCACCAACTGTTGTTTCCCCCCCTCACGCAGCCCCCTAATAATCTGACTAGCTCAGAGATAAGGGGCTGTGAGGGGAGGAATATCAGGAGAGGGGTATAGGTATTCAAAAGAGGCTCTCACCCCAGGAGGTTGGTACAGCTCTCTTTATTCTGTGGTGTCCATGTGGAGAGCGGGGCAAAAGAGAGGGAACAGGAAATGTCAGGGGGTCTATATAGGTTTTGGACAGGGTGGGCTTTCCTGGCTCTCTGCCAACCCCGTTGGGGCAGAAAGGAGGATCCAGGGGATATCTTGATCAGAGTCACAGGGTCCCGGGGGAAGGGGGGCACAGGGTGCCCATGAGCTCACTGTAACAGTAGTGGTCACCTCCTCCTCATTTGTATCCCATTGGCTGTGGTCCTTTTCCTCCACCCCCCATTCCCCCGGGTTTAAAATTTCCCACCATCAGGCATTCACTCTCTTTCTTCCCAGGGACATCGCCTTGATTCCCAGGTGGCTTCTATCATGGAATAAAGTGGGACACTGGTCCTGAGAGGAAAGAGCACCTCCGTCTTTTACTTTTGTCTTTGTGAGATTGGGAGGTGTAGGAATGTGCCCCCTGTTGATGGAGTGACCAAATTACCCTTTGTCTTCTTAAAAAGGAAAAAAGCCCTGAAGTTTCTCTCCTCAATTTGGTTAAAAGACACCTCATAGGACCTTGGGGACTTCTCTTTAAACATAAGGATATCCAATTGGACAGAAGCCAAAAGGTCCCGCCTAAGCAATTCACTAGAAAAAGAAGAGAACAAAGGAAGTAATCACTTTTGTGAAGTGTTTTACTAGGAGCAAGAACCTCTTGCCCTGGCTCAGGTATCCTCAGCAAAGAGCTTTGTTATTTTGCTTTCTATTAAAACTTTTCTGTTTCCAACACTGTTTCAGAAGCCATCCTGCTAATTTTATGCCATCTGATGTAGCTGAGCTATCTCAGGTGTGATACTTTTCTCTGAGAGCTTAGGAGACCTGGCTCGAAGAGATGAGTATCACTTAGCACCTGAACTGGTGATTTCTCATATTTAGAGACATAGTTCAGGAAATTTTTGATTTGGCCTTGTCCTAGGGTGACTGTTATGGTGTTTGTATCTCCAATCGTGTGTTCTGTTTACGTTTGATATTATGTTCTGTGCTTTCAGAACTGACTCTGAAAGTGAAGGTTTGTTTTGCTGTGTTATCATCTGGTTCACCTTCCCCCATGTCTGCTGGAAAGCTAGAAAAGGCTAGGGCTGGCTGGCTGGCTTTGCTTTTGCTTGCTTGCTTGCTTGGCTTGCTTGCTTTGCCTGCTTTCTTGCTTTCTTGCTTTGCTTCCTAGTTAGGTTAAGCAGTCCAATTCTTTCCCTGGACTGTTGTTTTTTTTTCCCTTTCCTCTTTCTGAATATCATTCAACCTGCTCTGGACTGGGATCTGGGAAACACCAAGGAACACCAGGAGCCTGCATTTGGTGATCTGCAGCAGCCATCCCCAGCGTCCAGACCCGGGCGACCACTCCCAGGAAAGACCTTCTGGATTTGTTCAGCTCTTCAGAGGGGTGAAAGAGTCTTGTTGTCATCTTGTGTTAATTGTTTTGGTGTTGGGGAGTGCTTTGTTGTTGAATAAACAGGTTCTTTTCCACTTCCCTCTCAGAGGAAATTTTTCCCTGAACCAGGTGGGTGGGGAGGGGCCGTGGGGGATTCCTGGGGGCTCCTTTCAGGGGGTTTTCCCCAAATTTGCCCTAAACTAGGACAGGCCTTGATCAAAAGAAGACATTTTTTCCTTGGTCTTGCATTCTGGGGAGCAGGCCTGTGACTGGGGTTTTTCTGGCACCAAAGAAAAAAACTCACCTAGGTTGCAGAAGATCTCAGGCCATCAGTGGGGGTCACAGATTGAAGCCCAAGCTGGTGAGAAGAGGTGAAACGTGGAGGAAAAAGCAAAAACCCACAATTCCAATAAAGATTGGTAGGGAACGGTATGTTTATTTTTACAGCGCTGGACACATGTGGGGACTCATTGCCCTTCAATGGACATGCACACCCCTGAGAACTTGTGATCCTTGTTTATTACCTTAATAATTTCCATATGCATAAAATTTCACAATAGGTTCATGCATATTCATTCTGCTGATTTCACATTACACTTACAGCTAGTTACACTTTGTCCTAGTTTAGGGCAAATTTGGGGAAAACCCAGGAAATAAACCCCCACGGCCCCTCTCCACCCACCTGGTTCAGGGAAAAATTTCCTCTGAGAGAGAAGTGGAAAAGAACCTGTTTATTCAACAAACAAAGCACTCCCCAGCACCAAAACAATTAACAACACTAGATGACAACAAAACTCTTTCACCCCTCTGAAGAGATGAACAAATCCAGAAGGTCTTTCCTGGGAGTGGTCGCCCGGGTCTGGACGCTGGGGGATTGCTCTCCAGCACTGGGGATGGCTGCTGCAGATCACCAAATGCAGGCTCCTGGTGTTCCTTGGTGTTTCCCAGATCCCAGTCCAGAGCAGGTTGGATGATATTCAGAAAGAGGAAAGGAAAAAGCAACAGTCCAGGGAAAGAACTGGACTGCTTAACCTAACTAGGAAGCAAAGCAAGAAAGCAGGCAAAGGAAGCAAGCCAAGCAAGCAAGCAAGCAAAGCAAAAGCCAGCCAGCCAGCCCTAGCCTTTTCTAGACAGCAGACCATGGGGGGAGGTGAACCAGATGATAACACGACAAAACAAACCTTCACTTTCAGAGTCAGTTCTGAAAGCACAGAACATAATATCAAACGTAAACAGAACACACGATTGGAGATACAAACACCATAACAGTCACCCTAGGACACACTTGTACTCAGTTTTTGTCAGAAAGTACAGAAAGAACTCCTGGGTCACTCTGCCCTGACTGTTTCAAGGTCCGAGGAGTCTTTCTTATCTCTTATCTTTTTAGTGTGGAAATTTGCATTCTTTTCTCCTCAGCTGGGGCAACTTTGCTACTGCTGCAGTTACCAGACTAAACAGCATATTTCACTTATGTTAGCAAGCTCAAAGCGGCACATTTCACCTAAATCCAAATGGATTTCTACCCTGTTAAATTTCACTCTGTCTCATTCCCCCCTTTCCCTAAGATGATAAGTAAATTCTTTTACTTAATGCAAATCTTTACATTAGTAAGTGTCCCTTAATGCTTCACTATGTAGATTTGTCCTACTAGGCACAATTACAGTAGTACAAGGAGTTCTCAAGCATACACAATCTTTACTAGTATATACAAGCACAGTTTTCTGATCAGTGACTGGATGAATCTCGAAGTGGCACATAAACAGTGGTATTGAGTACAGTAATACTAAGGTAGTGGCCACATTAGTAGCAGGATCATAGGTTACAGATGTTTTTCACCCCCTCCCATATGATCAAAGCTGCTGTTGCCTGCATCCAAAACTGTGCTTGTATAAAATTGAAAGCTAAAGACATGTTATCTTGAACCATACCAAGTGCTTCTACTATTAACTTGTGATTTTGGACCCTGGCCTTTTAGGGATAACTGTAGGGGTTGTTTTTAGTTTGCCAGTCCACCTGCTGCAGTGGCCAGCTCTCTCATAAATTCAGCATACTGATTAGAACCTGGGACCAAGGCCATTGAGCATTGTTTTGGGATAGAGGTATTCCAGGATTTCAATTACAATTATACACAAAGCAATTCTATAAATAAAATTACAAACTACCCCCCCTCCCCCCAGTACACTCATTTTGCCTGAATAAGTTTTAGTCTCAGTTCATTGTCTCTTGGTGTTAGTTTCCAAGGGGCTTCTGGGGCTGCTGTATGTTATGTACTGTTTCACCTAACTCCTTGCTCTGAGTTGCAGGTACATGTAATATTATGACTGGAACTCCAAAAGCAGTATTATTTACTCTGATAACTTTGACAGTTCTGGTGGGGAATGTTTCTGGCCACACTGAAAATGTATTTGCCAATACTCATAAATACTTACACCCCCCTTTCTATGGGGGTTTTGAAAAGCCAATTTACCACTGCTGTCTGGATCCATTGCCCCTCCCAATCTGACCAAGTTTTGTCTGGGGTATTCTTGGGGTTAGTTTGGAGGCAAGGATCACTGTTAGTTCACCTGGCATATAAGTTCCTGGCAATGATCCTTTAAATCAGATATGTGTTATAAAAAGCCTGTGGAAACTGCCACTTAGTTTCGATGCAGTCTGTAACACTGGCAACCTTGGTTATTTTGGGAAAGGAGCCACACTTTATAAAAGCTTTTAAGTAGTTAGGCCCCAGTGTGTTTTCTGGTGCTCCTCCCTTACTAGTGACCACACGTATGGGAAAGGATTTCTAGCTCCTTTTCAATGGTAGCTCACCCTTCTTCATTATATGTCCCTTTTGATTAGTATTATTATTTTCTGGATTACTTTAAAGGAAATCTGTCCATAATTACCTCACCCTTTGCTGCTTTCTTTGCCTTCCATCCACCAGCTCATTTCTTTTTCCCAATTCTGAGCTCACTCTCTTGTGTGCTTTAATATGCATACTTCTAGCAGCCAGATTATCTCTTGTGCATATCTGATGTTCTTTCCTTGTGAGGTTAGCAATCCCCTCTCTCTCTCTAGACCGCTCCATGTGTGTGCACAACTCTGAATGCATACCTAGAGTCTGTTTGCCATTTCTAAGGCATGGGACAGTGCAATAATCTTGGCCTTCTGCGCAGAGGTGCCTGTTGGTAAGGGTCCGAATGCTATTACCTCTCTGCAGGTAGTGACTGCATATTCAGCATGTCGCTTTCCACTGGCAACGTAGCTGCTCCCATCAGTGAACCAGGTCTCTGCATCATCTAAAGGAGTGTCCTTCAAGTCTGGGCGGTTTGAGTAAGTAGCTTCAGTAGTCTCTGGGCAATTGTGGTGTACTGCTTCTCCTTGATTTCTACTGAGAAAAAAGCTGGGTTAACAATGTTAGTTACTACTCTTTCTATATAATTTTGTTCTACCATGATGGCCTGGTACATCAGGAACCTCTGTGGTGAGAGCCGGTGGCCATCCTTTACTTCCAGTACTGCAGACACAATGTGGGACATTAGCACAGTCAGTTTTTGTCCCAGGGCAAACTTGCATGCTTCTTGTATATTTAGCACGACTGCTGCTATAGCTCTGAGGCAACCTGGCCATCCTTTGGCATTGCATCTAGTTGCTTGGAAGCAACTGCCTTCCAGTATGAATTCAATTCCTGAGCTACCTGGGAGAATAGAAAGAATAGGTTACTTACATCTGGAAGTCCCAAAGCTGGAGCTGACATGAGGGCACTCTAGCTGGTGAAAGGCCAGTGTGGATTCTTTGTCCACTGGCGATCTCTGTCTGACAAACAGTTTGTAATTATAAACCCACAGCTGGCACCACCCTGCCATGCCTGTGCCTTTTCTTTCATATTCTGTATCCTTGGAGTTCTGGGAAATTTGAAAGGCTTCTTCCTTCTTTCTGTGGAGTTTCCCAAGGTTCTGTATCTTTGCAAGTTGTTCTCTAAACAGAGTGGGGGATTTTGAAGCCTTGAGGCACATGAACTATGTGAGCTGGGTTTTGCGCCCGCTTTTAGGACTTTTCTATTCAAATGCAAACATTTTCTGACTGGCTTTGTGGATAGGGAGGCAAAAGAAAGCATCTTTCAGATCTAAAACAGTAAACCAGGTTAGTTCAGGTGTTAAACAAGTTAGTAAGGTATATGAAATTACTACCACAGGATATAAATCCTTTGTTATCTTATTGACAGCCCTCAATCCTGTACTATCAATTATTGGGCTGATTTCTTAACTAACTTTTTAAGGGGGTATTGCTTCATTTTCACTGTTTGTGTTCCTTCCTTAAGCTTGATTACTAGGGGGGGCATTCTTTGCCCTCTGTGGTACATCAGAGGCCCATACCCCCAAAAATACTTGTCCTAATATCTCTTCATTAATTTCCTCCTTATTTTCAATGCTGTTAATATTAACACCTCTATGTACCTTTGATCATTTACCTCCAGAGTAACCTCCTCATTCTAGAATGTTTAGCGAGTTGGGCATATACAAAAACTTGTAAATACCCCATTGTTACTTTAAAGGTTTGCAAAATATGCCTTCTCAGACTGGCCAGTTGTTCCCCACACTACAACGTAATCATTCTCCCCAGGTACAAAAGCTTTATTTAAAACTGAATATATGGCCCCTGTATCAACCAAAATTCCACCCTTTTCCTTTCTCTTGGTCACACTGCCTCTCGCAGAGGGGTCTGTTACCTCCTAGTTCTGGATGAGATTGGACTGCCAGGAGGGGGATGGGTTCGAGTGGATATACCTTTGGAGCCTGGGCCTCTTCCCTTTTGGGGAGGTCCTCCTCATCCTCCGTTACCTTAGGAGGAGCCTTTTACAAATCGTGTATATTTTTGTGTTTCAGGATGATAAGCTTTGTCTGATTTCATACATCACTGCCTTATACTGCATGCTGAAAAACACATTTGATTTGCCTTCTCTTTGCTCTGTTTCCTTTTTCAAGAGCTAACACCAGTGGGTCAGAGGGAACTCTGGACCCACAGTTAGTCTGCCATTTTGGGTGATTTTTTTTAAGGTGAAAAGCATATTAGCATACAAGACCTCACCTTATTTGCTTTCCTGTCTTAAAACAGCATTGGTTGCAATAAGGTATTATAAATCCTTTAGTGTTCCGAGCTGCCCCTACTGGTGACTTTCTTCCAGTGAGGCCCCCCCACCAGAGGGGCTAGTTTGGGAGCCTCTTTAGTTCTCACTCCTTATACTATTTTGTTTCTACCCAAGCTTCACGGTCTTTTCTTAGCTTTTCTCACACACAGACCTCCAGGTGGCAGGTATAAGATGTGATCCTCCACACATATGCTTTAAGATCTCAGGTTCTGAATCAGCTTGATCAGGAACCTTCAATTTACACTTGGGGCATATGTCCAAGATTAAAAAAAAAACAACAAACGTTTTCCTATTTACCATCTGAGTAGGAATTGCCTCTGGGCAGTTTTCCTTATCTGCTGTTAATAGCCCCATCAATGCCTTGCCACATGACTCAGAGATAACACTGTCCAGGAACAGGTGATTAAGGACACACCTCGTGACTCATAATGACCCATTGTGAGATGCTCTGCCCAGCGGGGAGGAGCTAGGCATTCCAACCTGGATAAAACTGGGGATTTCTAGACAGAGGGGCAGCCTTTTCACAGGTTCTCCGAGAAGACACAGCAACTACATCTGCCATCCCAAGAGGACTGCAGCTACTCCAATTTGGACTGCTACCAGTACGCTGGCCAGGTTGTATTCTGACTTTGTCAGTAGTCTTTCCCTTTGTATTATTGCATGTGGTTTTTTGTCCTTTTCCCCTTTTCCCAATAAATTGTATTTCTGACTTGGAGTCTCTCACTGGTTTTGCTTTCAAACCAGAACAGCATAGAACAGCAATACTAACCCTTCTCACAAACTCTGCATTGCAATAGTACTCAGGAAAGGTGCCAGACTCTCAGTGCACCAAGAACTCCTGGGAATTGCCTGCAGGGTATACAGTTTATAACTTCAGCATTTCTCCATTATTTAAGCTGTCTTTTACAAAATCTCAAACTTTTCCAGTTCTCTTCCCACACAATCCAATTAAAGCATTGTTTCTACTGACACTAATTTTGCTGCCCTGCAAAAGGCTGTGTCTGTTACAGCAAAAACTCTGATATGCCCACAAACACAGAACGCCCATCATTATCTCAAATTTGGGAGAGTCAGGGATTAAGTTGCTGTGAGGGAGGAATTCCTGGAATTCCTTTAATTTGCTTTACCACAGTTAAACATAAATCACCATACTGTAGCTCTTCTGCATAAAATGCTACACTTGTTACAAACAAAATCCTAAAATCTCCACAAACACAACCATACAATCCTGAGAATCAAATTACCACAATGCAGGGGAAGAACCACACAACCTCACTGGGGAAGGGGGTATTTCTTAAAGTGCCCACTTTTCTCAGCACAACACAGAATCTACTTCTCCATGGGCCACTCCCTGCCCCCTCAGCTTATCCTAGCCAGTGCCTTGGGCCTCACTCAGCCGCTTCAGAAACAAGTAGAACTTCTCCAGCCCCCCCCCCCCCCCCCCCCCCACACCGCAGGTACACTCACTCGTTCGCTCTTTCACTCCCTTTATACGCCACGCGGTCACACGACTACAAACACATTAACCACACACTGTACAGACACCACAAGCACACAAACTTTGGGTTCACTCGACTGACCCCCAGAGTCGCTAACGGCCGCTCTATCGGAACAGTGAACTCATCTCCAGTCCAGCCACCCTATCGGCTGGGCTGCCCGCAGGCACAGGAACAAGGCTGTGCACTCAGATGTTTCTTGAGTGACTTATCAGCAGTCCTGTCTCTCTCTCTCCTCAGGGCCCTTTTGATACATACTGTTTATCCGCACACCAGCAGGTCGTTGTCTGTCTCCACAGATGGCAAGCCGAGGCAGAGCGGAGTTCCCTCCAGGGAAATTCCCCAGGGCGCATCAAGGGGGTCCGTTCTCCCCCCCTGCCCCTGCGAGGAAAGAAAATCTCCTGGCTGGCTCGCCAAAATGAAACGCGGATGAAAAATCAAACCCCACAATTCCAATAAAGATTGGTAGGGCACGGTATGTTTATTTTTACAGCGCTGGACACATGTGGGGACTCATTGCCCTTCAATGGACTTGCTCACCCCTGAGAACTTGTGATCCTTGTTTATTACCTTACTAATTTCCATATGCATAGAATTTCACAATAGGTTCATGCATATTCATTCTGCTGATTTCACATTACACTTACAACTAGTTACACATGTACTCAGTTTTTGTCAGAAAGTACAGAAAGAACTCCTGGGTCACTCTGCTCTGTCTGTTTCAAGGTCTGAGGAGTCTTTCTTATCTCGAATCTTTTTAGTGTGGAAATTTGCATTCTTTTCTCCTTAGCTGGGGCAACTTTGCTACTGCTGCAGTTACCAGACTAAACAGCATATTTCACTTATGTTAGCAAGCTCAAAGCGGCACATTTCACCTAAATCTAAATGGATTTCTACTCTGTTAAATTTTCACTCTGTCTCAGGGGCTGAAACCAGGACCGGCTGGAGAACACGCTGCCAAGTCCTAAAGACGCCTTCAGAGAGAGAGCTGCAATTGGCTGAGTCAAGGCTGAGACACCGCTGTGTTTCCAGACACGGGGAGGAGACCAAGGATGACAGCTCCTCTGAAAACTATCAGTTGGTGAGTAAGAAAGACAGACTGTCTGTAGCCGAGCAGGTTCTTTATTTTTATTTGAACTACAAATTAGAAATTCAAGATGTAAAATTTGAGAAGAAACAGCTTAAAAAACTCATCAGATGGTTTTCACAGAATTCCTGACCCTAAATACTTCTGAGACGCTTACCCTAAAGTTCTGGGATGCTTAGATTATACAGTTTGGAAAAGAATAAGAAGAATAAGAAGAATAAGAAGTCCAGCTTAAAGTTTCACCCAATATTCAGGACAGTGTTGCAATTTGTAACATTGCAAAGTGAAAAACAAGCTAGAGACAGCCAAAGAACACCTCAGAGCAGAGAGAGAGCGGACCACAGCCTGTGGCAGAAAGTGATTGTCTAAAATTTGAATATCGATCTAATACCGATCTCCAACTGAGACAGACAAAAACTCTGTAACAGTTTAAAGTTAGAAAGTGTATGCTTATTATAACAGCCAGGCAGTACGTAGGATAATTCCCTAATGCGCACTGCAAAAATCACAGGTATTACAATGCCTTTTTATTTAAAAAGTCTTGAATACACAAAACATGAATGCATATTCATATCCCTGTCATTTACTCTGCTCTTCTTCTTATGCTAATTGGCAAAAAGGCTATTAAGCATGCATAGTTTTGTTCTCTGAAATGAGTTGGGGGTCCATTTTGGGAAGGGGTCTCCAAAAGAAGAAGTAAAGTAAGTCTTCCTCCTTCTGACCTTTCTACCTTTCCCATGCATACGTGACAAATGAATCCTTGTGGTTTTCCTGTGTTCAATGGATTCCTCAAGTATGGGAAGTCTGCAACTGTTTTCATGTCCCTGAAATCTGTTTATCACATTCTGTTTTTCATGATAAGCACAGCTACCCAAACATAAAGTTGACAAGCAAGGAGTTAATAGCTCCGGCTACTGTTAACTATGAACAAAGCCTATTTATCTACTTCCGCTAACTCAGCAACATCTAATTTAACTATCATCTTAACTTTCCTAAAATTCTTCAATATTAATGTCTCATTCCCCACTTCTTCTTTGAAATGAGTAAATTCCTTTACTCAGTATACAGAGTCTTCCTCATCTTTCCAAGATGTACAGCTAGTGTCTCTCAAGACCAAGCCATATGCCTTTGATAGTGATGTTAAGGCTGCCACGCATTGTAGCATCCTCCAATTCCAAACCAGTGTTACAACAGATAACACTAAACTTATGCTAATCAAAATAAGCAACACAATTATAGGGTGGACTAAGGCATTCAGTATACCAGTTGCTGTCGGTGACCACCCAAAAAGCACATCCCACCAATGATGAGGCAAATGTTCCTCAAGCCTTTTAAAAACCCCTTTGATGGTCTCTGTGTCATGGTGCATCATTATTAATGTCTTTTTCTCTCCATCTCTAATTTCTTTAAAGATTCCTCTCAATTCAGGATGTTTCAACAACTGGGCAACTAAAGTCAAATTCATTCCCTATGGGCACAGGCAGTATCTTCTGCACAGTGACTAGGTTGGCCTTTATGTATTGATGTGATATTACAGGTGCCCGATAGGAAAAATCACATCCCTTAATTCTAAAAAAAATTGCAAATACATAAATTGGATTGAGTCTCATCGACAATTTGGTTGTCTGTCTTTATGATGGGGCATGCTGTCCTAAGACAGACACAACCTTGTCCTGTATACACAAGCGAAGTTGTCTGATTGCCTGAATGCGCCTCAAAGTGACAGACACTTTGGTCTGTATCCAAACAAGTATCTTTGTCATCTTGTAATGTCCCTTCACATATGTATCCTAATTGTCTCCTCTCAGTACAGGGCTCTAGATTAATGGTTTGCCAGTTTCCTTCAATTTCTCATGCCCACCTCCTGTGTTCAGAGGGGTAAAATGCAGTTCCTTCATGGTACAATCTCAAGGGGACTATTGGATGTATTAGGTCCACTGAGGCATTCTGTATAGTTAGAAGAAAGGCTGTCACCATACTAGTCACAGGGTTATAGGTGAAATCGACCAGCACCCACCAAGACTGAAGTTCCCTCTCCATATCAGAGGCATTGTCCCAGACAATTTTACGAATTTCAGCAGGGAATGTTCCCTCTCCACCTTCCTTGATGACTGTAGCAGCCACCAATTGCATCCATAATTGTGCTTGAGTACACCCTAGAGCCAGTGAGATGTTTTCACTAGCTGTGCCTAGTGCATTGATTATTACCTCATGATTGCGTTCTTCTGTGTTTTCCCATTCTGGCAGTATTTTGGCCAATTTCCAATGGTTGTTACCCAGTGCTAGTAGAGAGGATTGCAAAGGTTGTTGTAATTTGACTAAGTCGCTCCCTACTGTGGTCAATTTATTCATCAGGACTTCTGAATCTATTGTGTTCAATACTCCCAATCCTGTCCCTAGCAACCCAGTGAGATCTCTCTTATTCCTAAAAAAGGGAGGTATACTTTTTTGAAGCCAAATAGTCCAGTCCATAAAGGGACTGAGAAATGGGGCACATTCTGGCTGAATGTGTGAGGCATTTACCTGTACTTCCATTTCTACTCGTTTTAAGGACCACTTTGGTTTAACTATCAGCCTCTGGACTCTTAATAGCATCTGGCCCAATTTTAGTAACTACAGGAGTTATTTGTTCTTCTACTTCTGAAGTAGCTGGTATCTGGGTGATCACAGCCTTTCCTGGCACTGGTGGAGTAATCTTGGTCTAGCTCTTATGGACCTCAGTACATACCTGAGTGATGTTGAAGTCAATGTCATACCCCTTTACTGCACACCCCTCTATTTTGAGTCTAAACTCAGGACATTTACTCAAGCATTTGTCACAGCATTCAGGACTAATCTGGGTGAGTCTCATGTGTGGGTGGTAAGCTAATACTTTTTCTGTTTTCTGAGCCTGCTCTTATAAGCTCACAGAAATAAGCATTATAGCTGTCGGGGTCATCTGTCAAGACCCCAACAGTCTCCCTCCCGCCCCAGGTGGCTCCCACATTATATACCCAAAATAACGTGTATCATGTTTACAATTCCCATACCAATACCTAAATCTCCGTTGGACAAGGTGCCCCCATCTTAAACCAATAGAAAAGTGTCACTATCACACCAAGACATGGAGGACAAGAAGAAGGAAGAAGAAGCTAGGGAACGCCCAGATTCCTCCATCTTGTAACCCTGAATTTCATTCTAAAAATCCCCAAAATTCTAGTTTTCCACCCTGTGTAAATTTCTTTATTACATCATTCAAACTATTTTTGCTTGCAATTCCTCATATAAGGTCGGCAGCCTCTCCCACGGGCTAAAATCGAATCCACAGGTATTTTTCATTTGCTGCCAAGGTTCCTGGGCTCTTTGCCAGGGGCTCGAGTCATCCAGGGCAGCCAGACGGATGCTCTGGACACTGACATATAGCCTTGATAGCTCAGCTACCTCAGGTGGCATAAAAGAAGCAGGATGGCTCCTGTGACAGTGCTGGAAACAAAAAGTTTTAATAAAAGGCAAAAATAAAAAAGCTCTTTAAAGAGAAAAACTGAGTCAGAGTAAGAGGTACTTGCTCCTGCTAAACCACTTCACAAAAGCAATTAACTTCTTTTGTTCTCTTCTTTTTCTAGTGAATTGCTTAGGCGGGACCTTTTGGCTTCTGTCCAGGTGGGTATCCTTATGTGTAAAGTGAAGTCCCCAAGGTCTAATGAGGTGTGTTTAAACCAAATTGAGGAGAGAAACTTCTGGTCTTTTTTCCTTTTTAAGGGGACAAAGGGTAACTTGTTTACTCTGTCAACAGGGGGCGCATTCCCACAGTAAGCCTCATGGAACCCATCCTGTATGAATGCATACTTACATCCCTGAACATCTCTTCTGCCCCACAAGCTTGCATTCATGACTTTCAGTATCTTGTTTAAAGCCTTACGAGAGTAAGGATCATAAGCTCTTCCCTGGCAGTGGTATGTCCCAGTCACATTATACCTACGTGGTATTTGTGTTGACCCTTGTTATGGCTAAGGTAATTACTACAACAGTGATAACCTTCCACATAATGTCCACAATAACTATAAGTACATTTATTCATTGCTCCAAGTGAGCTTCAGCTTCAGTTCGTTATTGCATGGTGTGACCTTCCAAATTCCCTCTGGGGCTTTCTTCACTTGAGAGTGATGGATCCAGGCCTTCTGTTCTTTGATCTTGATTGCAGTGAAGGTGGTGAGGAGCACCTGGAATGGTCCTTCCCACTGCGGTTCCAAGGTCTTTTCTGCAAGACTTAATGTACACATAAACCCCAGGTTGTACATCATGTACTGGCCCATCTAGTTCTCTGTTTTGAGCTCCAGCCACATATTTCTCAATTTCTCTAAGTTGTTTATTTAGGGCCACCATGTATTTGTGTAGGGTTTCTTCCCCTACTTGAATGGGTGTTGTTCCCTCTTGAACCACATACGGCCTCCCATACAATATTTCAAAAGGGCTTAGTTTCTCTTTTGCCCTTGGTTTTGTCCGAATCCACAATAATGCCAAAGGGAGAGCCTGGGGCCAGGGAAAATTTGCTTCTTGCCCCAATCTCACAATTTTGTTGTTTAATAAGATGGTTCATCTTTTCCACCTGGCCACTAGATTGAGGGTGGTATGGGGTATGCAACTCCCAATCTATTCCCAGGTGGTGACTTATTTGCTGCACAATTTTTGAAATAAAGTGTGGCCCCCTATCTGAGGATATGGTGGCTGGAACTCCAAATCGTGGTATTATCTCCTGCAACAGTGCTTTGGTCACCGCTCAGGCCTTAGCTGTCCTGGCAGGACAGGCTTCTGGCCATCCTGAAAAGATATCAGTTAACACCAATAGGTAACAGTACCTTCCCTTCCTGGGCAGGTCTGTAAAATCAATTTGCCATTGTTGCCCAGGTCCACAACCTTTCCAAATTTGTTCCACTTTCAGCTTTGAGGTATTTTTAGGGTTCGTTCGGAGGCAAAGGCTACACTGATGAGATACTTGTATTACTGCGCCCTGCAATTTCCTAGCCATGATTCTTTCATCTCCAAGTAGGGCCCTTCACTCTTTATAAAAAACCACATATTCTAAGACCAAACTTCAGAGATCTCTCATCTCCATCCATCCAAACCGTCCTGGAGTCCAGTGCTCCTCACAGACGAGTTACTTGTATTACTGTGGCCTGCAATTTCCTAGCCATGATTCTTTCTTTCAAATGGTTATAGAGACCATCTATTCCCCAGTGTGTTTTCTCATGTTCCCTCTGTACTAATGACCTCAACAAATAGGAGGGTACAACAAGTTTCCCTTCTTCTGTTGCAGCCCATCCCTCCTGGTTATAACTTGCCTTTTCTACCTTAATAAGTTTCTTATCCTTCTTATTGTATATTGGCTTACCTTCAATAGAAATTTTTCCATCTGGAATCAATGCTGACTCTACTGTCTCATCAGCTATCTCACCTTTTACTGCGTCTTTTGCCTCCCTATCTGCCAGCATGTTTCCCTCTTCTAGTTCAGAACTCACTTTTTAGTGCGCTTTGATATACTGTGGTGGCTTCTAACATTGTGAGCATTTAGCACTTGCCTTGGCATGTCTGGGGCAGTGTGATGTAGTCAATCTACCAGGCCTCCCCAGATTTCTATTTGGACCAATGCTCACCATACCCGAGGGGCTTCACCCGCCTGGCCTCCTTGATCACAGCAGATGCCTCACAGTCATGGATAACCTGATCTGAGAAACGGCCCTCGTTTTTTAAAATTTTAAAATGGCTTATTAAACCTTGACAAAAATGACAACAAAGGACTGAATAAGGAAAAATCACAGTGCTGGGAGCCCCCTCCATCACTACTAGACTTGTAGCTCCTCTACAAAATGGATGCTCTGCCTTTTATATCTTTAGCTCTTCTGAAACTTTTGTCCGTCAACTCTGTATCTGACATCCATTGGTGGAGATGACTTTTTACATCTCGATTGGAGGCCAGGTGTTGTTTTGCCGCACCTCCTGGTAACAAGCCAGCCTCCTCTAAATGTCTTGACTATTACGGCTATTACAAGGGGGGAAGGGAAAGAGGATTATGGAATGACATATTACAATAACATTACTATACATCTCTATAATCTCAACCTCTTAATTGTTAGAGCCAACTATTACATAATTTGTCTGTAACACTGAGAAATACTGTCCATGGTTAAAACCACCCCTCGGTCTCGTGCCCCCTTCTAGGTGGCATCTCTGCCCTGATGACCTGAGGCATCATGAGCCCATTGAGCTAGGAACAAGTCCCCCTTGTGTTGCTAATCTATCTTTGACACCTCTGTCTTTGCAGCCTGATCTACCTGCTTGTTGTTTCGATGCTCCTCACTAGCCCAACTATTATGGACATGGGCATCTACATGGCCAACTTTCACAGGTAGCTTCTCTACCCGAGTGGCAATGTCTTTCCACTCATCAGCAACCCAGATTGGTTTTCCTCTACGCTGCCAGTTGGCCTTTTTCCACCTTTCCAGCCAAGCTCAGAAAGCATTGGCTACCATCCATGAATGGCTATAAAGGTAGAGCTTTGGCTCTCTTTCAGCAATGTCCACAGCCAGCAGAACGGCCTTGAGTTCAACAAGTTGACTTGATCCACTTTCTACTTCAGTAACTTGTACAACTTGTCATGTGGGGCTCCATACAGCTGCTTTCCACTTCCGGTTCATCCCTACGATGCGACGGGAACCGGCAGTGAAAAGAGCATATCGTGTTTCTTCTGCTGGTAGTTGGTGGTACGGTGGAGCTTCTTCAGCCCTTGTCACTTGTTCACAGAATTCCCAGAATGACCAGGCTGGAAGAGACCTTCAAGATCCTTGAGTCCATCCCATGCCCTAAGACCTCAATGAAACTATGACATTGAGTGCACATGCAGCCTTTGTAAACAAATCCAGGGATGGTGACTCCATCACGTCCCCAGGCATGCCATTCCAGAACTTTAGAACTCCTTCAGTGAAAAACATTTTCCTACTATCCAACCTATATTTCCCTTGATGCAGCTTGAGACTGTGTCCTCTTGTTCTGCAACTGGCATTCCAAATTTCTGTGCAGAGAAAAATCCAAATGGGCATGGGATTTGAGCCCCCCGGAGTTACTAGACTAGCCTAGATCTAAGAGGGCTTTCGGGGAAATATTTCAGGGGCATTGGCAAAAGATTCCAAAAGAGGCTCCAACCCCCAGAGTGGTTCAAGACGTTTATTCCAGGGGAGAATGAGGGAAAGAGAACAAACAAGGAAGAGCAGAGCCTTATCTAGACTCCCTCTCAAGAAAAGATACTTGGCTCCCAGCCAGTTAGGTCAAGAGAGGAAGGAAGGGTTAAACTAACATGGTTAAAGCTACAGGGGTCTCGGGGGGGGGGGGGGGGCGAGAAACCATTTCCCAGATCAATCCAACATCTCCCCCTTATTTGTTTAACAAGGTTACAAGAAAACATTAGGTTCATTTTGACACTGAGCGGGGGTTTTCTCACCACCTACAATTGGTGGGGAAGTCAGACTGCTTTAGGTTTGCCAACTCTATGTGGTTGACATCTGAGGTAGAAGGTATGAGACCCTTGATAGCTTTGAAAATCAAACAATGTAGGATCCTGAACGCTATGGTTACAAGGAAAAGAATAACAAGAAATACCAAAATTGATTTAACTATAGAAGTCCACCACCCTGTGGATCCCCAGCCTTTGAACAGTTCTTTGAGCTAATCCTCAGATTCTTGCTTCACTTGTCCGATCAAGTTGTTCATGCTTCGAAGGGCAGCATAGATGTTTGGATCTTTTGCAGTCAGGTTCATGCAACAGAATCCTTCAAATTCCTGGCATTCATGTCCATGCAGTACCAGAAGGAAATCTATAGCAGCGCAGTTTTGAAGTGTGGCCTGTCAGGTAATTTCCTCGTCTTTGAGACAGAGTGGATGTGGAAATCCAGGGCTTCCCTCTGGCTGCCCTGGCAGGTCTGGGACCCTGGCAGGGGGTCAGGAACCCCCCTGGACAGAGCCCCGAGAGACACTGTCTGTGATCTCTGTCCATGGAGAGGAGTTTTCAATCTTACAGGATGAATTACAAGCTTTGAGTGTTTGATAAGAGTAATAATTAAGTGTGAAACGGGTGCAAAAGTAAAATTTTAGATTTCTAGATTAGGGGTTCAGAGGGGACAAGATGGAGGAATTGGGTGTGTCTTGTCCTTTTCCTCCTTCTTCATGCCCTCCATGTTTCACTGTAGTGTTGGCATTTTTCTTTTGGTTTATGCTGGGGACACACTGTTCAACGTAGATGATAGATATTGGCACATTATTGTAAATATAGTACATGTAGTTTCTGGTATATAATGTTTGTACCATCCCACTGAGGGGCAGAGCCCCGCACACTGCCCTGCAGGACAGACCTGCGGCAGGGCAGCAGAACATGTTATAGATAAGCAAGAATAAACAACCTTGAAAACAACACAGAGGAACTATGGCTTCTTCTTTGGCAACGGGGCAGAAAGACAGAGACTTTCTACAATCTCGGAATCACCAATACCCACAGATTCCGACAAGTGAAAATTTAACAGAGTAGAAATCCATTTAGATTTAGGTGGAATTTGCCACTTTGAGCTTGCTAACATAAGTGAAATATGCTGTTTAGTCTGGTAACTGCAGCAGTGGCAAAGTTGCCCCAGCTAAGGAGAAAAGAATGCAAATTTCCACACTAAAAAGATTCGAGATAAGAAAGACTCCTCGGACCTTGAAACAGACAGAGCAGAGTGACCCAGGAGTTCTTCCTGTACTTTCTGACAAAAACTGAGTACAAGTGTAACTAGCTGTAAGTGTAATGCTAAATCAGCAGAATGGATATGCATGAACCTATCGTGAAATTCTATGCATATGAAAATTAGTTAAGGGTAATAAAAAAGGATCATGAGTTCTCAGAAGTGCGCATGTTCATTGAAGGGCAATGAGTCCCCAAATCTGTCCAGTGCTGTAATAAAAACATACCATTCCCTACAAATCTTTATTGGAATTGTGGGGTTTTGATTTTTCATCTGTGTTTCATCTTCTAGGAGAGAGTTGATGGTGGCGTATGTAAAGTTTGCCTGTTTGACCACCCAGCACTCTAGATGGTGTAATTCACCTAGAGCTTTGGCTGCTGCAACCCATGGAAGGAACAGGCACACAGCAACTCTTTTTGACTTGGCCCAATGAAAAATTTCTGAGTTACAATTTGGTCCAGATTGTCTGCACTCCTCTTTTGAATTTTGTTTGCCGATTTGTTTTTGTGAGTACATTCACCAATTAGAGTTTGGTTGCGTGTCAATACGGACAACCGCCCTATGGTACATGGCTCTCCTGAAAGCCAAGATGAAATTCCTGCCCATGCCCGATCCCCACAAATCAATAACAATCCCTTAGGCAGGCCTTTGGGACTTGAGTGAGATGGGTTGTCTGCCACAGTATGGCTTATATTATGACACCACCTTTTTGCAGTAAACTCCCCACGATATTGTCTTATGATGTGGTACTCATTAGTGCTAGAAAGTTTTGGGAGGACTGAAAAATTTATGCAGTAAGATGCAGGGGAAGAACCCAATAGCTCTAACTCTTGGGGTTCCTGAGCTATCTTGGGCAAACTTTGCAACCCCTCCTCTAAGGGTTTCATCATCACCACAGCTTGCCTATTATGATCTTTGTGTGGTCGGGGGTGTGCGATTCTGGAATTTCGTTGGATCTATATTTGTCCAAACCTGCTGGAAATTCTCCAGCCTGCAATGGAATTCCTACCAGACAGGTGGACATAGGATTCTTTGCTGTTGCAGTAGACAAACTTATGTTTTCCTGCTGAAGCGTCTGTGCCAGGGTCACTCAGATGTTTTGACACAGCTGGGGGACAATCCATGCAGCTGTCAGACTGTTCAGCATTAGCAAGATGATAACTTGGATGGGGTTCATCACAGGGTTGAGTGGGAGGTAGGTTTTCTCTAAAAAGGAAAAAGAAACATTTTTAAAACATGTTAAAAGTTTCTGTTTCTGCCAGACGGAATTCACACCTAGGAAAATTCTCTTTCCTCCATCCGGCAGTGTCTTCTCTTTGAAGCATCAGCTATTTGCTTGTCATCCTCTTCTGCTTGAGCTGGATTTTTAGCGACAAAAGATTTCACCCACTTCTGGGGAATCCACGGAGGGCCTGAGGGAGTAGCCACACAGGCATAGCCACGACCACAGGTCACGAGCTCATAGGGACCTTTGGTTTCCCAAGTTTCTAGATCCCTAATCAAGATCGGTGGATGATGAGACAATTTGAACTGATTGCCACTGTAAAATGACGTACCATGGGTGGACTCATGTTTTCAAATGAACAGTTCAGAAAACTGATGGCTTTGCAGAGCTTCTGCTGTGGAGACATCCACACAGCTGAACTGCTCTGTCTAGCCAAGACCTGCTTGAGCATCTGGTATGTGTAAGGGGCTAACAGCGGGCCTGTTAGCAAAGGAGCAAGAAGAAGCTGAGAAGCAAGAAGAAGCTGATAAGAGGCTTTCTCCAAGGCTGTTACCAAGGAGACCAAGAGAATAGAGGAACTGAAAAAAGTTAGAGAGGGAACTTTGCAGCTGGACAAAGTATTTTTAGAAAGTTAGCTGAAGTCACTGTTACTTTTCACCAATGGTGTTAAGAAGCAAGGGACTTCTTATAAAATCAGGAATGCTGGACAGGAAAAACGCAGATCAAGCCCATATGGTTAATCATACGTTCTCCTTTATTGTTTATAAGATGGCAGTTTATATACACTTCAATATAGTTTACAATTGTGAGAACACTCTCATTGGCAAGCAAACATTGTCTTTGTCTTAAGGTGCTTAAAGTTTCACACTGCAGACCTATACTAATTCACACCCAGAAAGCTCATTAAACTGTGTTCACCTTAACATAATTTCTAACTGCGCCACAGACTAATTTCTTGCTGCGTCATAGGCTTCAAAGGCCTCGCCAAGGCCCATATCTGAGGCCTAGACTGGGGTAGCTCAACCTTCATTCTAAATATAAATCGTGTCCTCTATCTCTCAGAAATCCTGCTACAATTACCTCTTTTTCTTTTTAAGCTACCCAGATTGACTTAAAGGCGCGGTTAGTCATTTTCTGCCTGCAGTGTAATAAACAAGGTATAAAGACTAGAATAATTATAATAAGAAGAAAAAGTACAATACCAAAACAAACTAAATCTTTGACCCAACCAGCAAAACCTAAAGAATTGAGCCAGTTAGCAAACGGAGTGTCTACTATGACAATTTTCTTCATATTGTCCTTCAGTTGCGTTAACTGTTTGTAAATCGATTGAGAGTTGTCAGATAAATTCATGCAACACATGCCTTCAAATTCTTCACACCCATGTCCTTGTGTGAAAAGAAGGAAATCAATGGCAGCTCTGTTTTTAAGAACTGCATGTCAGATGCTCTCTACATCTGTGGCAAACTCACTTAGCATTTTAGATGTAATTTTAATTTGCTTTCCTGTCCAGCAGGCCAGGGTCTTCAATTGCGTGAGAGCTTGCACTGAAGCAACTCCTGGGGGGAAAATTGAGGCTAGTATTACAGATGTGCGCCCCCATCATGATATTTGATCTATACAGTTGGGGTCTAACTGGAGAACACTCCATTTGGCTCATTGAGGATTCTGGGGCAATCCAAGAATCTGATGAATGGTGGAAGCAAACAGTGTTAATTTACCAACGTAGCATGGGCCTCCCATGGCTTTTTGAGGCACTGCAGATCAGGCTCGATCCCCACAAATGAGGAAAATCCCTGGTGGCAGTTTTCTTGGGGCAGTTTTTGGTGGTATCATGGATTGTGTCCAATCGTTACAATATTCTGAGAAGTTATAATGCAATGGAGATCTGGGAGACAACCAAGTGTTGTCATCTGTTGTCTGTCTTTCTTTTTGGGTTGGTTTTGTAGCATGAGGTCCAAATATCAAACAGTATTTTCCTCGGAAAGAACCCAAAAGATCGAATTCTTGAGGTTTGACATTAATAAATATAAGATTTTGCACAAATGCAATAGCTTGCGCTCCCAGAACACTTTTTGGATTTATTCTGGCCAGAGTCCAAGCTTTGAACTCTGCCATGGAACCCAGTGGAACTCCAATTAAACAAGTACAAAAATGATTGGATGGTGTAGTTAACGACAGGCAGAATGAATCCTGCCCAGTTTGTTTGGCCCAAGTGATCCACATGTTTTGTCTCTTGTCAATGTCAAGCATTCCAAATACTTTAGTTACTAAAAAACTGCTGAACAAAAACACTCTGAGCCATCACATATTTCTCATGTTCTTGATTGCCCTGTTTAACATGAAAGGAACAAACTTAAATCTAAATACAAAGTATAACTTATGATAAACTTAATGTCATGCTTATGATCCTCTAACTTATTTTCCTGTACTCTACAAAGTTAATATTCATCAGAACTAGGTTTGTCACAGGATGTTCCCGGTAAGTTGTTGTTGTCAACGTTGTTATCACTGTTGGCTGGTGTCTCTGCCTGTGGACACACACGTGTAAATCTGTTCGGCACCCACACTGGACCAGTACCTGTTGAGACACACATATAACCTCTACCATTAAACAACACAGGACTTGGTCCTTGCCATTCACCTGTTCGCATGTCCTTGTGATAAACATAAAGTCTTGAAATTGCTTGTGGTCTTCCCTCTTTCACTGCCTGGTGGTGTATTACAACCGCCGGTTCTTCTCTACCTTCTGCCAAACACAAATAATTTAGTGTAAACAATACTTTTGACAATCTATTAAATACATCAGTCTCATCATTTTGCTTTTGTTTTGCTAGATATTCTTTCAGGGTATGATTGGGTCTTTCTACAACAGCTTGACCTGTAGACGAGTGAGGGATCCCTGTGGTATGTTTCACCCCCCACTTTTGCAGAAATGTAGCAATTTGTTGACTAACATAAAATGGAGCATTGTCGGTCTTAATTTCTACAGGGAAAGGCAAATAAATGTCTTTTTACATGCAGAGCCTTTTCCCCTGTCTGTGCTGTTGCCCAAATGAATTTCAAATAGGTATCTACAGTGACATGGACATATTTCAGCCTACCAAACTCGGGAACATGAGTTACATCCATCTGCCACAGCTCTAAAGCTTTCAGTCCCCTTGGATTTGTGCCAAGTCCGAGGCCAGGCCCATAATGACTACATTGAGGGCAGGCACGGACAATCCCCTGTGCATCATTCATGGGGATCTGAAATTGTCAGTGCATGGCTCTTGCATTTTGATGAAATATCACATGACTGTTGCGTGCTCTCTCAAACTTATTCTGTGGGGGAACATGGACAGCATAACTGACCACAGCATCCACCAATGCGTTGCCTTCTCCTAAACCGCTGTTACATTGATGGCTTCAAATGTGCATGATACAAAAGACATGCTGGCGCTGTTTCAGCACACTCCACAACTGCAGGAACAGTTCTCCAAGATGTTGGTTTTGAGTTCTTCTGAGGAGTGCATCTTCAATCCTTTTGCACAACTCCAACTACATATAATGAGTCAGAAACGACGATGAGTGGTTCCTTGTTCCAGGTTTGGAAAGCCCAACACATGGCCTTCAACTCAAGGGTTTGTAGACTATCTTTTACATCACTTTTGATTAAATGTTTCAACCATTTCCCTCGTTGTTGCCAAACACACACAGCTCTTTTGGTCTTTGGCTGGCATTGGTAAAAACTGTCTTTCCCTCAAGTGGTTTCAATGAACACAAGGGTCTTTCCAACCACTGGTAACATTTGATGAAATACCACATCGGGCCTTTCGGTTGTTTGTTGTGCACCACTCCTGTAAAACCTAACAATGCTTCTTGCAGTGCAACAGAGTGTCTGAGCAGCCATTCTAGATCTTCATTTTTCACAGGAACACTGATGTCCACTGGTTCTTTTCCATCCATTTCTAAAATTCTGTCTCTGCCCTTTCGTATCAATGCAGCAAGAGCATCTGTCCTGCTCATCACACGACTTTTTGGTTGAACAGGTAAAAACATGCATTCCAACAGAATCGCTGCTGAACCAGGTTGGAACTCCCTCTTTTTCTTTTGCCATTGAAAAACAATAGCAAGTAGACAGGCATCAGCGTTGGAAAGGATCAGTGACAATGGCAAATGTTCAATGCGACGAGCACTCCAGCCATGTTGTAATTTCTCTGAAACTCAAATCAGAGCTCTTTGTTTTTCAGGGGTACAAAATCAAGGACTGTTGGCATCATTGCCATGGAGCCATGGCAAAAATGGTTGTAGATCATCATTGGTGATTCCTACAATGGTACAAACTCACTGTAGGTCGCCAAAGAGTCTCTGAGCGTCATGTAAGGTAGAAATGTCAATGTGTAAGGTAATTTTCTGAGGTCAAATTTGTGCATCTGTGATCAGCTATCCTAAGTATTTCCAAGGAGCTGATCGCTGAACTTCTTCTGGAGATACTGTCAGTCCATGATGCTTCAATTGTGAAAAGAGCCAATTTAAATCTGCATCTGCCAATAGCTGTTAGGTGGAAATGAGAATGTCATCCATATAATGATTTGCTGTGATGGATAGGGTTTTTGAAGTTGTTGCTTGACAAAGAAGCTGCAAAGATGTGTCCTTGTTGTTGCATTGCATCCTGGATGGCTGATGTGAATGCTGCAGCTTGATTGCTTTGTTCTGCTCATGTGGCTCTAACAAGCATCTCATCGACTGGACAGCCTTGAGGAATAGTGGCCAAAATGGTTCCTGTATGTGAGTTAGCATTTTCTAAGGCAAGTGAGTGTGTGGTAGATAGGGACAGGCGAACGGAAGATCACGGGATGTGACGGAAAGAGAGACTCTTCCCCCCTTCTCCCTGCCTCACGCTATCTATTAACCCCAAAGCATGTGACCACACCTAACCCAGTAGTTTTCCACTCCCGACTAACCCTTGAGACCCCAAACCCCCCTCTGACGTAGCAAAGACCCCCAAGACTATTTAAACCCACGAGATAAGATAATAAAGGCTTTCGATCGTCCACCACATTGGTGCCAGCGTCTTTTGTCGATAGCCCGAGCGGTCCGGAGGGGCCGGACCACTGTGCTGCCCCTGGAACCAGGTCACCGTTGTCTTTTATAAAGGAAACATATTTGGTGCCGAAACCCGGGAAAATTCGCTCGGGTAACGGGATACGCCTGGACAGGAGCAGCGGCCGGAGCGGTCAGACCGTATCTTGGCGCAGGGAGACGTCCCAGGAACCGCGAGCGTCATGGACAGCATCGCCAGGGTCGTAAGTGCGATTCATAAACAGTGGGGTATCGAGTGTAAGCTCAAGGACTTTTATCTTGCTATAGCGAGGCTGCTTGAGCTTGGGGCGATTGAGCGTCCAGTGGATGTCTTACAACCGGGAATATGGGAAAAATGCACAGCCACGCTGGCCGAGGACACAAAATCCTCAGGCAGTGGCAAGAGCCTTAAGGCATGGGGCAAAGTGGAGAAAGCCCTGCGCAGGGCAATAGAAGAGCAGGAGACGTGGAGCGCGGCACGTACCTGTTTATTAGTTACTCCCAAGCTCGGGGTGGGGGCGGGAACGCAAACTGCCCCTGAGAACGATCTGCCCGGTAGCAGGGACCCGAGGGGGCCCGGCGCGTCACCTCCTTCCCCGGATAAGAGTCCAATCCCTGCCGCGGAAACCCCCCGAGAAATCGCGGCTTCCCCGCTCGTCCCTCCGACGCCGCCGGTCAGCGATCCGTTCTCAGAAGTGCAGCAGAGCGCGGAATGTTTTTGGCAAGGGCTGGCGAAGGAAGCCAGAGACGCAGAAACCGCGGCTCGAGAAAAGACGCCGGCCATGCCGCCACCCTACCCCTTTGAAAATGGCGCCGGCTGCCAAGGAGAGGGGCGAGGCGCGGGTGGTCTCGGCGCGAAAACTCGAGAGCCGCGCGATTTCAGGAATGCGCATGCACGGGAGAAAGAGGCGGAGAGCGGCAGGGAGCGCGGAGCCAATCGGTAGCTGCGCCGGGCGCCGCTACCCTATAAGGGAGAAACCTCCCCCTGCGGGAGGCGCGGCAAGCCGTGGGAGCGGGAGCGGCGCCACCCCCGCGGGGAGGAGCGAGCTCGGAGCCGGACAAAAAGGCACCGAGCCCCGGAAGTGCCCTGGCATTCGACTTCCAGCTCGGAGTCCAGCAGCAGCTCCGCCAGCTCGGAAGAGCTGACAGAGGCCGGCTATGACTCCGAGACGGAAGAAACGGAGCCAACGCAATTTAAAACAAAACCGAGTAGATTTCTAAGCCGCACCGAAAAACAACTACAATACGAACCAGCCCAGTTTACCGACTGGGGGGAAATAAAAATAGCCTGTGCTGAATGGTCCCCAGTGGCTGCCATACAAGCTTTCCCGGTGAGGCTCACCAGTCCGGAGGGGAACCAACAAAGGGTATATACCCCGATAAACCCAAAAGATGTACAGTCAATTGTCAAAGCCATTGCGGAAAAAGGAATCAATTCGGCCATAGTCTCCACTTTAATCAATGGTCTTTTTAGTAATGACGACCTGCTTCCCTTTGATATCGAGCGAATAGGTCGCATGATACTTGATGGTGCGGGAATGATTGTGTTTAGACAGGAATGGGAGGATAATTGTAGGAAGCAGTTAGCCCAAGCATCTGGCGCGAGGCAGCCACTACACAGATCGAGCTTATCCAGACTGATAGGAAAGCACGATGATATGATCACGCCGCAGCAACAAGCCGCGCAGATGTAGGCTGAGGAGGTCAGGGCGACCACTCGGGCTGCCAGGGAGGCTATCCGCGCAGCCTCTCGAGTCGTGGCTAAGCCGGCGCCGTGGTCCACCGTGAGGCAGGCAGAAAGCGAAAACTTCACGCAGTTTGTGGACCGCCTGCAGGCAGCGATAGACTCCTCTACCCTGCCGGCAGAGGCAAAGGGCCCCGTGGTAGCTGACTGCCTGCGCCAGCAGTGCAAGTCTGTCACCAAGGATATCTTACGTTCCCTACCAGCTGGAGCCAGCCTGGCTGACATGATCAGACATGTAGTAAGGGAAGAGCACCTGACACCCATTCAGGCAGCTGTCCACACCCTGACCAGTGCCATGGCGTGCTTCAAGTGTGGTGAGGCAGGTCACATCGCAGTGAGCTGTCCCCAGCCGCCACAGCGGCCCGCTGCGGCGCCTCCACCCCAAACACGCCCGCGGGGATCCGGTTGGGGCTGTGGGAGGAAAGGGCATCTCGCTAAGGAATGCAGGTCCCGGCCCCAGGGAAACGGGAAAGGGAGGGGGCCTGCGGGCCGCACCCAGCCTCCTCCCACTGCAAATACGAGGCGGCCTATCTATGCCAACCCCCAGTGGGGCCGGGAGCCCTCATACCCCATACCCCCACAGGAAGCAGCCAACTTCATACCCCCGCCAGCGAGTCTCGCAACACAGCCTACGGTACCTTCGTACCCACCACCACCGCTAGCAGCGCCTGTGCCGCAGGGTCAGCAGGGGGCGCCCCAGAACGGGACCCCTGGGTGGCCCTGGCCCTGAAAATAGGGAAGGAGCCCCCGAGGGTGTGGGGGACATGCCGCCTCTATGGCAGTCAGGACCCCCACGTAATAGGGCTTCAGTTTTGGGCAGACACAGGAGCAGACTGCTCGATCCTTCCCAAAGCCCTGTGGCCCCGACACTGGCAATGCAAGGAAGTCCCCCCAGTGAACGGGGTGGGAGGGCTGTCCCGAGCTTGGAAAAGCACCCAATTGGTAGCTATAACGCTGCATACAAAGAAAGGGCCAGAACGGACAGTAGCAGTCCACCCCTACATCTTACAAAACTCTCCACCCCTGATAGGAAGGGACATCCTTGCTATGTTAGGAGTCAGGATTACAAATTTATAATGAGGGCCACTGCCGTACACCCACTGCTGCCAATCAAACTGACTTGGAAATCACCAGACCCCATATGGGTTGAGCAGTGGCCCCTGTCAAAGCCTCGAATGGCAGCCTTGCTGGAACTGGTCGACCGCGAGCTACAAAAGGGTCACATAGAACCCTCCACCAGCCCGTGGAACACCCCTGTATTTGTAATCCCCAAGAGATCAGGAGAAGGCTACCGCCTCATTCACGACCTGAGGGAAGTGAACAAGACAATTCAGCCCATGGGTCCAGTTCAGACACTACTGCCCGCGAACTCAGCCATCCCCGAAGGGCAGCCGTGCGCAGTGCTGGACATCAAAGACTGTTTCTTTTCAATACCCCTGCATGCTGAGGACAAAGAACGGTTCGCCTTCTCTGTCGTGTTCCCAAACGGCGAGCGACCTAACCTCCGCTTCCAATGGAAGGTGCTACCTCAAGGTCTTGTGGACAGCCCGACCATATGCCAGATTACCGTGGACAGGGCACTGATGCCAGTCCGACACTCCCACCCTGCTGCAACCATCATTCAGTACATGGACGACATCCTCGTCGCTGCACCATCAGCAAGCCAAGTGGATCACCTAGTGTCCACGATCACGGAAACTCTCCAGGCCAATGGTTTTGAGATAGCGAACACGAAGATCAAGAGAGGACCGTGCGTGACCTTCCTGGGAGTGGGGATCACAAATTCCTACGTGACCCCACCCAGGATAAAGGTCTGCCGAGACATCAAGACCCTCCACGACATGCAGCGACTCGTGGGATCTCTGCAGTGGCTCCGCAAGATCATCCTAGTTCCTCCAGAGGTCATGGATCCCTTGTATGACCTCCTGAAAGGAAAACACCCCTGGGACCCCAAGGAGCTGACGCCGCAAGCAACGAAATCCCTCGACTTCATCGAACGTCAGATGTCCACTAGCCTGCTTGCCAGGTGGAACCCAAGCGTACCGCTAGATTTATACGTCCACTTCACACAGAAGGGAGGAGTGGGAGCACTGGCCCAAGGACCTTCCGAAAAATCCCAGCCGATCCAATGGGTGGTCCTTGGAAGACCAACTCACGCATTTTCCCCAGGAGTTGAATGCGTTGCTAACCTCGTCATGAAAGGCAGGAAACTCGCCCTGAGACACCTGGGAATCGAGCCGGCAAGGATCCACCTCCCCTTCCACAAGCGACCGACCATGGAGTCAACTGCAATATCTGAGCACCTGGCCCTCTCTCTCACTAGCTTCAGAGGAGAAATCTCCTACGCCACCAAACCACCTTGGACCCAGCTACTGACCATTGTCGACATAGATGTGCCACCGAAGGTCATGGACCGACAACAACCAGGACCAACGGTCTTTACAGACGCCTCCTCCATGACTTCTACTGCAGCAGCGGTGTGGCAGGCAGGAGAAACATGGCATTGCGTCAAAACATGTTACCCCACGCTGTCAATGCAACAGCTGGAAGCAGCAGCAGTGGTCTTGGCGTGCGGACTCTTTCAAGATGAACACCTCAACATCGTGACAGACTCTATATTCGTGGCAAAGCTCTGCCTAGCCATGTCAAGACCAGGTGTGTCAGCATCCACGACGGCCTCCATGCTCGAAGAGGCACTCTCCTCACGCCAGGGCACCGTGTCTGTCATTCACATCAACAGCCATAACCCAGTCAAGGGCTTCTTCCAGACTGGAAATGACAAAGCAGATGCAGCAGTGAAGGGAGTGTGGATGTTGCAGGAAGCTCGTCAACTGCACGAGTCGCTCCACATCGGAGCCAAAGCACTGGCAAAGAGATGCGGGATCTCGACAGCAGACGCGAGACACGTAGTGGCCACCTGCCCCCACTGCCAAAAGTCACCCCTATGGACCGGTGGGGTCAATCCGAGAGGCCTCAAGGCCTCAGAAATCTGGCAGTCAGACTTCACCTTCTGCGAACTGCTGAAACCCCGAGCATGGCTTGCAGTGACAGTGGACACTTACAGTGGAGTGATCATAGCAACACAGCACCCCAAACCCAACTCCAAGGCCACAATCCAGCACTGGCTGACAGTTATGGCATGGCTTGGTATCCCCAAGCAAATTAAAACTGACAATGCTTCCAATTTTATCTCCAAATCAGTGCGGGAATTCGTCTCGGTGTG